TTTTTAATGGGCTACTGCAATGTGCTGTCTCCCCCAGTATACACAGTGACTACATGAAGTACCTGATCACAGGCAGCAGAAAGAAGAAGCCATTGGATGCTTCAGCCACAAAAACCACAATGAGTCTGAGCTAAGCTTTCACAAAGACAGACCTGAATCAAGGATTTGTGAGATTTTTAACAGCTCTTCAGACTTAGGTCACTAGTACATATTAGCCTTTAACCCCCTAGACCAACACTGAAATCTTTAAGTCAATTTTAAAAGCAGGGTTTACTCTATTATTTTAACCTGGTTTTTGTCCTTAAAATATACAATACCAAATACTCATTGTTATAGTAGCCTACATTTTTTCCAAAAGGTTCAGTTTTATAGACAAGGGTATAACATCCTCTTAAAAATCAACCTGAAGCTTAATTATCCTACTGTACAAGCTTAATTATCCTACTGTACAAAGACATATTTGTATTTAACATTTATCTAAAGGTTTATTTCTTTAGAAAGAGAGCACACACACTGTTCTGCATTAACTTTAATCTAAGGTAATGTAGAAGTACAATATTGAACAATTTCAGCAGTTGTGTAGTGGCTGAGTTATTTACTGAAAACAATCCAGCAAACACTGACATATTTCCCTGTCTGCTCTTCATTCACACTGAAGATCTGGTTGCATAACAATGGGAGCAGATGAGAAACCTTATTTATATGCCAGTAAGATTTTTAACTGCTATCTTTCCAGTATCCTAAATCTTCCCCAAACAATAATTAATGAACAAGCAAATGTTAAAACATACAGAACTGTAAATCTAATATTTAGCTATTATAAATGCTGGAATTAGAATTAGGGTTCAAGCATCATCTTTTTCAGAAATCCTACTGAAGTGCTGCAGTTTATCCAGACTATTTTATTCCAATGTGCTTCTTACTAGACTAGTCAGATTCTACTTTTGGTTCCTTGAAGATAGCACTGTGAGAGGGTTTGTGCTTTTTTTGCTGTGCTTTTTATTTTGCTTTACAATTACTTCTTCTGAATCTAGTATTCACTGCTGCCATCTAATTTTTTTTGCCTTTTAGTTAGAGAATTTGCTTCCTAATATTCAGTTTAGTATTTAGCTCTTCAAGAATGCTTCAGCATTACATCTTTTCTAGTTATCAGAACACCTTCAGTTCTTATCTGGATTGTGAATGTAATTTGAATCTTCTTGCTTTTATTTAGAGGTTGATTTTCTACATCTGTTAGTGAAACCAGCTGATGAAGTGTTAAGCCTTTAGACAATCCCCACAAAATCAGTTTTGTTTCCTTTTATGTACATTTAAGATTATAGGCTAGTTTCTTGTCAATCTACCTGCACTCTCCTAACTCTATGTCCCTCTCTTGTATAAAATCCACTCTGAGACTCACTCTATTCCAGTTAACACTGTCAGTGGGCAAGATAACCTCTTTCCTAATGCTATGCTCGATACAGAGTAACGATGCCAAATGTATGCATAGTGACAAAACAAAAACATGCTTTGGTTCATTCTTCATCACCTATTGACATTTAATGCCCTTTCCCGTTCCAGAACCTCTAGCATCTTTTGTATTTTTTGTTTGATTTGAGCTTGCTGTCACTAAATTAAAAACCTATTGCTAGACAAAACTGCATCTTTAACAGCTTGATCAAATCTTGACTGATACTAAAGGTTATGAAGGTAGTGAGGGTGGAGAGCAAGATACAAACATAAAACAATGTGTCTCTGCACATCCAGTCACTGCCATAAACATTAATTTGACAGATATCATTAATTGATAATGAAGTTGAGTTATAAAAGCTTCTAGCAAATATTTTGTCCCAGAGACCATCCTTTCCAAAAGACAACAGTTTTGGATAAGCACTTAGCTGGAAAGTAATTATAATGTATGTAGCATGTTCAAAATAAATGCTATAAGCAAGAGAGTCTTCATCATCCCACTGACTAAGCTGACTAAAATGCAGTAAGGTTTAAGGCATTGGAGCATATTTCTTTTCCCACCCAGGTTGCAGATCATTGCAGTGAGTGGCAAATGGTGGTGTCACTGTGGTGTACAACAGAAGGAGGCAGAAACCCCTGTGCTTTACATATCTAATGGAACAGATTGCTCTAAATCAGAAATGAGTTCTCTGCAATTCATCTGTTAAATTTGTAGCCAAGGAGCTTTTGGAAAACCAAAAGCAATGAAAGCAGAAACCTAAATATGATAGAACATTTGCTGCTATAAGTATGTTCTTTTCGTAGATATTTCTGGAATTCAGAATTGATTCTGAGCAAATAGAGAGGGCAAATTCTAATAAGGGAACTGAATTTACATCTCTTAAATTTTACACAATCAGAATCATTCATGTGGGTAAATAAGGCCTATACCTCACTACTGACAGTCTTTTGACTGAATTAAAGGTTCAGATTTTGTTCAGTAGGTGTAAGCCCTATTTACAATGAACATTTTAGATATAAAGTTAGAAATGCAGCCATGGAAATAGCATTCTGAGTGGCAGGGAAGAACACAAAACAAAACAATAGAATCAACCATGAACAGGAGCAGGGAGATCTGCATTATCCAACCCATAGATGCCCATAGTTTGATTCTCACAGTGGAGGGTGGCACATTTCAAATATAGCTTGCATACAATATTAGCGAGACATCACAAGACAGAAAAACCTTGCATGAGCATTGGCCTATACCTTAAAAGAAAACACTGGTAAAAGGAAAGATAACATAAACTGATAAAATTCTCCGTGCTCCAAACCCATTGTTTTTCAATAATATCTCTATGAAACAAAGATAACAGATTCTGAGGAAAATAACAAAGTGACAATGTCAAGTTCTAAAAAGAATGGACAGAAAATTTGACTTGAAAAACAACAGTTACTTCTACTCAGTAGCTAAGCACCTGACATGCTACATTAGGTGATACATCTAATGGTGTCACCATGTCACCACAGACACGTCTCAAAGTTATCATCACTTTAGCATATCTAAGAACTCTAAACCAAGAACTTCAAAGTACTTCCCTTGCTGCTTTGGATCTCACTACCATGTAAAAACATTGAAGCATGTTAATATCTGGGAACTTGAGTCTGTCTGTCTTCCCACCAATCAGAACCTACTCTGAGAGGTTCTGACCATGAGTCATTTCTCAAGTGTACATAATGGGTCAGTTTGAGCTAAAAGCTGGTGCATCCTGTTCCTGATTACAAAAAATAAAGGAGGCACTTTAAGTCCCTTTTTTTTCTTAAAGTGATTGCTGTACTAGTGAAAGATGCCAAAATGACAGCTCCATAAGATAAACTTCACCATTAATCACAGGGTGGAAACAGTTGAGCACAAAAGTCAGCAGAGCAGACTACAGAAGCAGCTGTGGTAGTTCATTTCTTACCATCCTGCCACTGCATCTGAGCCAGCACTAATTCCCCAAGCAATTGCTTTCCTTGCTTTGTATTCTCAGCTGATATTCCAAAGTATGTCAGCTAGGGTTGGGTTCGGTTGTTTGTTGTTCTGCTTTGTTTTTCCAAAGGGGGAAAGACATTTCAAGAATGCAAATATATGTAGCCCCAAAAGGATAATCCATGTCATGTAGCTTTATCAGATAACAGCCAATCAAACTTGCCTAATTTTCCATTAAAATCTTTACTGCACACCTATTTTCGGCTCTTGAACTGATTTCAAGTCAGCGTTTCTAGTGTAGTGTGCCAAACTAACTTGCAATCAGTAATAGATTCATAAAATAAACTTTTAACAATCCTCATGTTATTAAAATGGGTTGGTGATGGAAAGAGGAATTTGCTGATTTATTCAAATTTCATGGATTTCTCTGTAACAAATTACCATTGAAATTTCAACCTGCTTTTTAGCATCCCAAATGACAGGAGTTTGGAGAGCTACTGAAAGACTCAGAGCTCAGAAATAAGTCTTATGGTCTGATAACAGACAGGAAATCTACAACTACAGGGAATGCAAAATAACATTAAATTCCAATCATCCTCTGAAGAGAATATATGAAGCAAAATGTTAAATCACAATCCATAGCAAATTTGTCTACATGATGAGCAGTTCCAGACCAACAGGCTTAAGCTTCCAAATTCTTTCTGCTCAAAGAATGAAATGAGAAAAACAACAAAAAAAAACCCAAAAATGGAAAGCAACAAAAGCTGCAAACATAAAAATATGGAAAGAAAGTACAATTAAAAGCATCTGAGAGTTCACATCTTTTACTGCCTCCTAAGAACAGACTGTCTAGAAAACCAGACAGATAATATTAATGAAGAATCATAATAAAGGAGCTGAAAAGCGGTAACATTTCTCTGTCTGGACCCAATAGTTACCCTAAACAAAAATTCTGCTTTCCCTGAATGGGGAAGTGGTTTCAAGTCTTTAGCCATACCACAGGTAACAGCAAAAATATTAATTTCTTAATATTAGAATAGAGAAACACAACTTGCCTGGTAAGATCCCCTAAATAAAAGACATTTAGTGATATTATTTAGATTTCAAGAGAGGTAGCACCTTGTCTGTGTTTTAAATTCAAATTACAGGCAGCTGCTGCAGTAGCTGCTTAGTCTCAAAGTGGGAGCTGACAAGGCCAGTGAGAGATGCAGAGAGGGACAGCTATTTAATGGTGCAGAGACCTGGAGCCTTGGACTCACAGGGTGAACACAAGGTATGGGGAAGGGGATGAATACTTTCACCACAGGCTGTGAAGCAGCTTATACTAAAGAAGGACTAGGGGTTTGTAAAACTACCCAGGAACAAAGCAGACAATAACTAGCAGACAATAACTCCACTGATCTGCTCAAATGCTGCCCTACCAAGATTGGCTTTCCTTCATCAGTCTAAAGGACACCTTGCTAACTTGAAGATAGAAAGGGTAACTTTTAGCCACAGACTTTATCTTTGTTGCATATAAAGGGATCCCTGTCAGGAAACTGCTGTTTCCTATTCTCCCATTCCTCTTACCAAATCGTGCAACAGTGCTGTGTCTACTTACTTTTCATTTTTGCCAAATAACAGCTGCATTTCAAGGGTGCTTCACAGATACATTCTTGGACTGTAAAGCTCTTTGAATCAAATGCCTTGTATTCGTGTACAGTGTGCCATGAGTATTGTCAAGGCAACCCAGGTTCAAAGAGAAACACAGCAGTTGCTAGGAAACATTATAGCAGAAGAGAGATGGGGAGTTGTTTATTGATACGTATCTGTTTGAAACATCAATTACTGTTATTTGGGGTATTTGAATCTCAAACCATACCTGTATATTTCTAATTACTAATTCTGATTTAAATTATACTACTGAAAGAATCCATATGTATGCCAGCATTGCTGAATTAAGGTCCCATAAGCTCTAAGACCATAAACAGACAAAAAATCTTGGACTTTTCTAGTATCAGCTGATGGGCTTAGAACACATTTTGGAATACAGGACTCTACCATGCTTGTCACAGATCACCACCATCCCAGAGAGCTGACTGAACCATAGGAATTTATTTCCATTCTATGTGGGCTTAAGATGAATTTTTATCAAACCTTCTGAGACAGATGTTAAACAAAACAAAACAAAACAATGAAAAACAAAACCGAACCCAACCACAAAAAAACCCAAAACACCCCTTTCATTTACTTTCAGACAATGGAATTATTTGCATAGTTGCTTGAACAAAGCACATAAACTAAATCAACATTCCTGAAACTTTTGCAAGCAATAAGCAGCACAAAAACTAAGACACACAGTATTATGTAAGCTATTCAGATTAATAAAGAAATAATGTCAGAGCAAACACTCTCATCCTCTGTGTTTATTGCAGAATGGAAAGAATTTCCTCAATGTAACTGAGACAAATAGTACATGAGATCTAAGAGGCAACAACAACAAAAAAGAAAACACAAATTTTTAGAAGTGCAGTAATTCAGTTACATATTTTAAGCAATAACAGGAAAAAGCATGTTAGGAAAACTTTGCTAAGGTTGCCAAGTCAAACAGTAGGAAGGTGAACATAATACAAAACAAATCCTACAGACCTTTCATCTACTTTTTTTTTGGTACATATATTATGACGGTATCTGTGCGAGATAAAGATTGTGAGAAACCTCATTTTTCCAAGAAAGCATTCAACAGCTTAAAATTTCTTCAAATTTCTTTCTCCAGAAGGATAACAGTGCCAAATTGGATAACATGATACAGAGATTTCACAAAATAGTCCTGTTCACAAAGGAGAGCTATCCTATATTTAGATGAATCAAAGAACAGAGGGAATAAAAGTGCTACACTAACTAGAGTAATAATAATATACAAGTAAAAGCAGCAGAACATGGGAAAGCTACTAAGCTATAAGAAAACCCAAACTAAAACTATTAAAATGGAAGGTCTCAATTCATCATCACTTGACATTGCAAGTCTAATAACATGTAAAATGCAGCCTTCAGGCATAAGAACAAATAGAAAAAAAAATCAGAAATCTTAGCACGTCACACTACATCAAAATCAGCATCAGCAGGAGTGAACTAGTTTGTTAAAAATTTCTCATATTGTAAAACTTCATAGAAACAAATCAATTTCAACAACTTCTCATTCATCAAAAAATAAAAAAGAAGAAAATCCACAGGAGGCATTTCAGCAAGATGAAATTCCTTTCTCCAAAGTTTACTTTTAAACCCCAATTTATATAAAAGAAAACAAACCAAACACCCAACTGTGAATAAACCTTTTTGATTTTAATGAAAAATAGAGCATTTTGTCTGACAAAGGCAGCTATAGCTGCTGTCTTTCTTTCTAGGGGATAAAAATATGACTTAGCTGGACTCATACACGGCCCCAGGTAGGTTAGAATTGTGGGGATCATTTGGAGTAGCACATGCCCAATGCACATTTATTTTCCCCATTTGAATATTTTGCCCAGGCAGAAATGAAGGATTTTTTACATTGCAAAAAATGTACATTTTTTACATTGTGTGCATCTCACAGCTCAGCTGCAGCCACCTGGCTCCCAAAAAGCCACTCTGTAGCACAGAAATCACCCTGTCACTCAGGGTACCTGTGCAGCACCTGCCTCATAGCCTCAGCTCTTCCTGGGTTTGATGAGCTCACTGAGCACAGGGTATGAAGCCCAGGCACATGCACTTCCATTTGGCAAATCCACAAGAAACATAATGTCAACCCTCTTCTTACTGCATTATAAAGGTCTGCTACACAGTACACTAATACTATTCTAAGAAACAACCACTTGAATACAGTATCAGAAGAAAAGTCCTATATTTCTGCTTCTGAATTGATTATCAGACAGAGCTGAAATTAAAACAAGAAAATGTATAAAGATATTAACACAATAAAACTGCAAAAAAACCCTCAACTTGTATTGGGAAGTGCCTGTAAGCTTTGTTAATTGAATACTGTTAACCATCTCAAATATGAACGATATCCATAAGAACTATCACAAGCTGACAAATTGTCCATCAATACCTACACACAAAAACAATTTTAAAAACTATCCTTGACAAGTTTTGAGTTTTTGATGTCATCATAAGTAGAATTATGTTAAGAAAATTGTCATGAACACAATTATGATTCCATTCTCTGTCCACTTTCAACAGCAAATTAAAATGAAAAAATATAAGTTTTCCATCATCCACTTTTTGTAGGCTTGATTCTTCCTCATTATATTGTGATTATCTGGGTATAGAACTTTTACACTGAAAAGGTTGCTTTCAATATTACTGGTCATAAGAAGTGGGTACAAATAATAGGATCCTGAATAGCAGGGTAAAGATTCATCCTATCTGTTGGGGACAGATAAGTGCTCATGAACAGATTTATAAAGTGCAGATGAATTCCAAGGGAGCATGATCTGCCAATCACCCTGGTGGCTTTGGGAGACAAGTCTGCTGAATGGGCACATTATCTTCCAAATAACTGGTTTTAAAAAGTAAGTGCTTTTAATCCGACTCTGTTGGAGTTCATAGGGTAAAACCAGGATGACAATTTTAATGTCCCACAAGTTTCTACAAAGGAAAAAAAGAAAGATCTACAATATAAAATTTATTTCTCCCACTTATAGTCATTATCCAAACAATAAACTGGCACATCAGCTAAGAAAGAACAAATGTATCCTACTGTGAACTAATTCCAGTTTCCACCCCAGAGCACAAGCCAAACTTGGGGAAAGAAGTTAGTGATTTTGGTCTGCTCTCAAATAGCAAAAGCAGAAGTTCTCTGCTCAAGGGAGGAATATGGAGAAGCTTTTTGTGTAAAGTTTAGGGAAGCACCTGCATTTTGGAACTTTTTCCCACATAAATTTGCATACTTAATTAACAAATTTTAGCACCTGAAAATTTTCATCATCCCTTGCCTTCTTAGTAAAATTATATAAATCATTGGGATTTCAGAGTTTAAAATGTACTAAGGAGGTAACAGCTTCTAGGGTTCAACTTCCTCCTTTTGCCTCAAATGTGATTTGCAAGAATTCCAGTAGCCTTGATATAAATCTTAAAAAAATTATGTAGGAATATGATACATATTCATCAGATATTGCAATTAGAACACTGAAGTAATTTATGTGTGTATTACAGACAGTAGATGGGAACTACAATATTCAGATATAAAACTAATAAAAATTAAATACTGAAGTAACTGAAATTATGAGCTATGCTTTAGAGAATGTATCACTGTCCAGAAATTAAGGTCACAGGCTATTCAAAGACCATTTGTTGATACCTAACAATACACAAGCAGAAGTGGCTTTTTCCCCTTTATGGATTTCTCTTTGTATCACCCAGCAAAAGGAAACATACCAAGACAGATGGTACATTAGCTGCCAGTTTGTGAAAATTGCTCAAAAATGGGAATCCTTCAGTGTCCAGGATTATCTTCCTAGCAACTTCCTTATAGCTATAATTTACTGATAAGAGCTATATGGAACCAATACATAATCATGTCTCCATCAGCTTTGTAACTTTAGAAATATTTTCTTCCTGAGATCACCTAGAGAATTTCAGCTTCCCCCAAACATTTCACAGCAGGCAGAGCTGTAAAATTTGTACTATATATCACCTGCAATTTGATCATTTGATCATCTGTGTCAGCCAGCATCGGCTCTGACTTCAGTACTCACTCCCGCAAAGCAGTTGCTGTCTGCGCTGCAACTGCCCGAGGTGGGCCAGGATTGATGGAGACCCCACAAGACATCATTACAGACTGCATGATAACTGCCCTGGAAGTCAGAGAGCTAATAGAGAAGTCAGTGAAACCCATGGCTCTTCACGTGTCACCTGTGGGTTCCTTGCAAGTTCAACATTCATCGCAACCTTACCAGAGCTCAACATTTCTCAGATCGGATAAATGTATCTTCCCAAATTTAACAATCTCAATAGGAAGGCTAGATCAGAAACACAGTCTTCTTCACAGATGGAAGAAACGTACCTCATATTTATGAAGTTGCTTGAGCACTAAACTACTACAATTCTTGAACTGGAATTATCATTGGAACTGTGATGAACCACTTGAGTCAAAATTCTGATTTTGTCAGTAACTGTAGCTATCACCATGCAGGCTTACAGAAACTGTTTCTAATTACTCAGCTAATTGTTTGGTGCCAGATATTATTTAGATAGATCAACAACAGGGCAGAGATTTAAAGAATTATTGCTCATCTTAGCTCTCACAAGGATTCATGAAGTTGCCTACCATTCAGATTATGCATTTGATGCTCTTATACTAGTCCTATGTCAAAGCAGAAAGGGGAACACAGAAAATTTGAACTGTCTACATAAAACCAGACAATAAATCCGTCAAAGCAAAAAAAAAAAACAAAACAAGTGTGCAGAAGGCTGTATTATGTGTCTGTCTGAGGTCCTTTTTATCATGACTATCCTATAATCCCATGAATCCTTCATTCCTGGTCTTTTACCCCCTGGCCCTCTGTACTTGTCCTGTGCATAAGTATAACACCATTATAGGAAATCTAACTGCACACTTTCTTTTTCTGAAAATAAACAGATACTAAGCCCTTTTTCTCAGTCACGTACTGTGTAAGGCTAAAACTGAAATCCAATTTCAAAATAAGAAAAAAA